AAACAAAAGGAGCACCGGGCAGATTACATGTTCTTTGAACAGTTCTGTATCTGAACAGCTTCAAAATTCACTTAGTTAATGGGTCAATGTCATCTTATTCTTTTTCTGCCCATGGCTGTCCTTCCCATAAAGGTAGAACAAAAGGTCTCCCATTCACTATTTCAAAAGGGGTCAACCCATCAGATGTTGGAATATTCCTCATCTCATGAGTAATTTTACCAACTGCAAACACTCTGTTTATGGTTTTCCTGTTTCTGCCATGAATTTTCTCAATCTATTTTTAATTTTTCCATTAATTCTCTCCACTAATCCTGCACTCTGTGGATGGTACAGTAGGAACAGTGATGTTTCAAAGTTATGTTTAAATGTTTGGGCATTAGTGATACCACTTCATTCACAAAATGTGTTCCATTATCACTTTGTAAGGTTTTTTGGATACCATGCTCAGGTATGATATGTTTACACAACGCTTTTGCTACTGTCAGAGCATTTGCATGTTTTGTGGAAACAGTTTCTAGCCATTTAGAAAAATTGTTCACTAGGACTAGGCAGTACTTGTACTGTCCACTTGGGGTCCATGCTAATTACTTCAAATGGAGCTGTACCTCTTGGTCCCTGTCCTCACTTAGTTCTCTGATTTCCTTGTGAATTGTATTTACAACAAGTGAGACATGCTAAAAATTTTAAAAACAGTAGTAGTTACACACCTGTGTGTGTTACTACACTATATTCATCATAACTCCGCCCTGTTGAGACATGATAATTTCATGGATCAAGATAGCTGCTGGTTTTAATCAGAATCAGAAATTAATGCAACTAATGTTTCCATGGGACTTTTTAACCCTTAGAGTAAGACACTATAGGTTTAAGCTTATCACCATGAGTCTGTAACAACACAGAGGTTAAACAGAGGTCAAACAGGCAACTGTTTGGATAACAGTGAGATAAGCTCTGCTCTAAGCTCTGTGTAGTCGTTCTGTTTCCTGAGCCCAGTAAATTGTGTCTGACATGGCATTAGTGTGTCATAAATTAGGCTTAAAAGAAGCTGAGTTCTTTCTCCATAATGTGGAATCTAAGTTCTATAGTAATTGCACAATTCCAAAAAATACATTATTTGTCTTGTAGTTACTGGCTTACGCTCACTTGCCATTGCAGTTTTTCACTCTCCCTGTATCTTTTTACTTTCTTGTAAAATAATATGTCCCAAATAACAGACTTGTTTCTACACACAATACATTTATTTTTGCTGGCTTTATACCTTCCTCTGCTTCAGCCGATTGTGTTTTATCCGCAGTCTGTATTGCGATTTAAGAAATATTTGAACTGATTCTACAGTCCTACATCAATTTTTCCTGTAGACCACAAAGCATTTAAAAAATCTTTTAAATCATTTTCATCAGATTGTGATAGCAAAGAATGCTGAGTTATTTTATCTCATGCTCAATCTTGGACCCAAGCTTCTGCATTGAACAGAGTTTTATAAGGCTGTTTTCATAGTTCTGTGTTAGGGCTATAGAGCCAGCCTGGTTTGTGCGGTGCGGACATAGATAGAAATCAGATGCGCCTTCTGCAGCTTCTAAACGCAGGCCTGTGTCTTTCCACTGTGCTTCACTGGTCTTAAACAATGACAAATGATGTATCCATGATAAGCGGCACATTCCTTACATCTCTGTAGAAAGATAATTTGTGTAGCCATCATAGTAATGTCTTGTTTCAGAAACTGTTTTGCAAACTTTTCATCTGGGGTTAAGCACAAATTCATAGTGGTCTACTGTTCAACTAACAGAGTTTCATCCTGTGGATCTGACAATGTGCTTCTAGCATAGTGCATATAAACACAAGAAGATTTTGTTGAAACGCTATTTACATGTTCCACACATTCAGCCTTCATGCCTCCCTGTTTGGGAAAAAATTGCTTAATTTTCCCATCAATTCCCATCCTAACAGATTAATGGGGTGAGTTGGTGATATTACTACAGAAACATAGAACCTTGCAATCTTTTTCCTGTTTGAAGGTTTTTTATTTTTAAAAGGCATTCCATTTGACTATTTGCTGATTTTACAAAAAATAGCATTTTAGATGGTTTTAGTCCTACATTATCTTTAATGCAAATTTTACAGGCTCCTGAATCTTTTTTTTTTACTCATCTACAATTGTAAAAACAACTAATTTCTTTCTGGAAACTGACTCATCCACATACAAATATTTATAACCCCTCCTATGGTTCATCTTTTCCCCTGGATGGTTAGATCCAGGTAGTAAAATGTTTTGGGGATGAGCCTGAATGTATCACGTGCGTCAGCTGCTTTTAGCTCTGGAGTCCTGATAATGGATTCCTGATATTTTACCCACGACTGAACTATCAGTCACTGGGTGGATTTGAGTCTTTTTGTTTTTAGTTTCCCAATCCTGAGCATGCAAAGCATACTCCATCAATGTGTTAAAATTTGCAGTTTTCCATCCAACCAAATGTTTTTCCAAATGACCTCTAATTTCTGGACGGAGTAAGAACGGGAGGTTGTCTCCACAGACGTTGGCCTGCCTCACAGACTGCATTAACCTATCTTTCTAGGTCCCCATGCCCCAGAGGCAAAATTTCAGCTGGATTTCCTCCGCTCCCAGTATATTGTTTCCTCACTTGAGCCCAATTATGGCCCAAACTACACTTTATAGCTTTTTCTATGTTTAACTTGCACAATCCACTTATTTAACCTCTCTATTTTTTTTTTTTGTTCCCTGTATGTAGCTTGCATGACTAAAATAATTTTCTGGTGGGTTATTTATTTATTTATTTTTTCGGATTCCGAACCTAATAGTTTTGGAGACCATGCAGTCGCATTAGGAAGGCCGTTAGATGGATCAATGCTGCAGTCACTGATTCACCTGACATACTCCCCCACTGCTGCAGATTCAAGCTGTCTCCCTCTAAACTGTGTTTCATTAGCTTTTGGACACACAAACAACTTAAAAAACCCACAAACATAACTTTAAAGACGGAAACACATAACATTAAAAGATGGACAAACACAACATTACATCTATTTATTTAGGTTTTCATCGTATCTTCTTTGTGCATGTATCATACCTACACCTCGCCATTTGGAGCTCATCTATCTATCTATCTATCTATCTATCTATCTATTTATTTATTTATTTATTTAATTTTGCTAGTTCCACACACCATCTATTTCATACTTTTACTTCCACTCCTACAAGTATTTTAAATTACTTACATCAATCTGACACAAACTTTTCATCCCTTTTATGATCTTCTCTATACTCTTTCCTGAACCCATCCTTTTTATTTATTTAATCTCCCTTGCACTCTTTAGTTATTTTATTCTTGAGGTCCATTATTTATTATTTTGGAATAGAGGCGCCCCTCAAATCCGTATTTTTTAAAACCATATATTCAAGCCTTTATTTTTTGTTGGATCCTGCACTTCTACAAACTTCTAATCGTAGATTCTAAATTATCTCTAATTTTACTTTGACCTTTACCCATTTTAAAGAATTTAGTTCAGTACAAACACTTAGGGTATTCAACGCACTGGATTTTTATTCAGCAAGACAGTACCCAAAAACTGTTGTGGTAATTTCTGCTTCTACCTTTTCAGGTGAGAAATTCTTGCCTCTGCATCCACAAGAGCTATACTGTATTAATCCCTGCTGTTTTAGTATGAAACAACTGAACCTAAAGGTTCGATTGTTTCCTCACAAACAGTCACACTTTTGAAGGCCTATTTTAATAATTATTATTTTTTTAACCAATATACCTAATGCTATGTGTACACTTTGGAGTCCCATACTCCGCAGATTTCAGCTCTGTCAACAAACATCCCTGCTGCAGCAGCTGCAAACCTTACTTTGCTGTGTTCTTATCTAAAAGAACACAGAGGGTCCCAGACCCAAATGCACAGAATACCGATCCTAGATCTATCATAACAAAACCCTGTTTGTCAAATATTCTTGCGACTACAACCAGTTATAGCTTTCACATGGTCCAAGACCAACTTTTGATCAAAAGCTTTAGGCCTACCCTTTGTCGTGTAGATAAGTCCTCAGCGGGAGTCGTCACCAGGATGTCCAGGGCAGGGCTGGACCAACCTATTGGCCCCATCCGGCGAAGGGGGGACGGCTGTCGACAGTTTCTTGGCCTTGATCCCGCACGGTCCTGGACAATTGGATCTTGACTCCCGGGTTTTGGCACCAATAATGTTGGGTTCAAAGAAATGTGAGTTTATAGAGGATGAAATGATCAGACACAGACAGGGATTTGCAACAACAGCCTCTGCAGAAGGGAGAAGAAATGTTAGCTCACAACCAGCACCTTTTTCTCCTCTGCTCCCTTCACAGTAGAGCCTTTTATTGACAGATCACAACAGGATGGGGTGGGTCTTAAGACAGAATGACCCTGTAATGACCAATCAGCTGGAGGCAGGTCATAAGACACAATGACCCTGTAATGACCTTCTGGCTGGAGGCAGGTCTTCAATGTTTCATATGTACACACAGTAACTGTCTTCAATGTTTCATATGTACACACACTAACTGTCTTCAATAAACCTAACAATTTATACCAGACCCAGATGGTTCATTGCAGTCCTGCCCTCTACTGGTCATATAAAGCATCAAGTTTGACAATTAAAAGACACAATCAGTGATCTTTAATAGTTTAATAATCAAAATACTTCAAATCAAAACATTTCTAAAGATGATTACAAATAGCTCTTCTCAGACTAAATATGATTATGAACACATCCATCTCCATAAAAAGTGATGTTTGATATAAACAGAACAAGTTAAAGAATCAGAAAATGTTTGACCAAAGTAAATATGAACTATCAAAGGTCATGAATGACAAACATTTTACATTAAAGTCAATATGCAAAAAAGGTCTCATCTGCTGAAATTAAACACGCCGAGTCATTTTATACTAAGATAAAAACCTCTCACTTTTTCTGGATGTTTGGATCTCAGTTTGTTTCCATCAGCAGAGCTCTCCAGGGTCCTGATGTCTCCACTAACCTCACCTGTTCCCTGGTCATGATCAGCACACCTGGATCTGCTGTCAGAACCAAACTAAACTCCACATCATCCACTTCATGTCTTAGTTTGTAGCATCTGGACAGATTATGAAGCAGATCTGAAACTGACCTGAAAACAACCAGATGATTAGTCAGATCAGATCATCTCCAATTTCCTGTTTCAAACACTGAGTTTCAATCAGATCAATAAGGTTTCATTTGGACTTTGTGTTCTTCATGCTGAGAACATCAGAGCTGCTGTTTGCTCACTGAGATCTTCATGGGTAAGATTTTTACTTTACCCACAGTGTAGAACCATGGAAACACTTTGTCAGTGAAGGTGTGTCTGAAGATTTGTATGTGTGTGTTAGTCTCCAGATCAGAGAAGGACAACTTTCCTCTGTCCCAGTCCAGATTCACTCTGATCCTCTGGAGCTTCTTCTGAACTGAGAGATCTATGGAATGGGCTCCTGGAGATTCTGCTGAGTATTTACCTTGATTAAACCATATAACATACCATCCAGACTCTATATCTCCCTTCCTCTGAACAGACTGTTCTAACACACCAAGCATCCAGTATTTACTGTCTCCAACATCAACATCCCAGCTGTGGTTCCCTGAGTCAAAGACCTCAGAACTCAGGACAGAACCACACCAAGACCCAAACCTCTCTGGATTATCAGGAAGCTTCTGTTTCTTTCCTCTAGTCCCGCTGGTCAGATCCTCAGACAGGATGAGTTCTGAACCAGCAGTGTTTGGGTCGAGGATGAGAGGACTGTAGGACACCATGTTCTTCATGTTTCTCCAGATGTTGAAGGCCAGGTTGCCCAGATGTTTGGCCTGGTCTATCAGAGCTCCTGAGGGCAGCTGTGGATCCTCCAGCAGGGGGCAGTGCTGGACTCTTTCCACTGCAGCCTTGTAGTTGTGCAGGAATGAGACGTCTTCAGCTCTCAGCTCCTCCTCTGTGGCTCTGACTGTGGCTGAAAGAGCTGCTATCTCTCTGCTCAGAGCCTCCATCTTCTCCTTCATCATCCCTCTCTTCTGCTCCTCTTCCTCCCTCAGTGCAGCCAGCCTGGCCTCCTCTTCCTCTGCTAGAAACTGATGAAGCTTCTTAAACTGCTCCTTAATCAGCCTCTCTGTGTGTCGGGCCTGGACCTTCATGTGTTCTGCTGTCTGATCAAACTCCTCCTGAATTTTCTTCGTGACCTCCAGCTTCTTCTTCAAGGTTTCTAGAGATGAACGAAGATTCATTCTGTGATCCTCTGCAGCTTCATCTATGGGAGCAAAGCTGTGGCTTCTGTGGAGTTTTGAATCTCTGCAGACGACACACACTGGCTGCTGATGGTCCAGACAGAAGAGTCTGAGTTTCTCAGAGTGCAGACTGCAGAGATCCTCTGAAGCTCTCTGCTCTCTCTGCTGTAAGAAGGTCTCACACAGGTTCTTCAGAACCAGATTACAGGGAGGATCATCCGTGCTTGACTGCTTCCTACAAAAAGGACATGGTCGTTCATCTCCTACTGTCCAGCAGTTCTTCAGACACTCCTTACAGAAGCTGTGGCTACATGACAGAACAACTGGATCCTTAAAGATATCCTTACAAACCGGACAGCAGAGATCCTCCTCTAACCTGGAAGCCATTTAGTCTCTGAGTGAAGCTGAAAACACAGAAGGTCAAGTCAGTCATGGCTCCCCTCCCTCCTCTACTAACTTCCCTCAAAGTGACTCTGAGTGGTGTTCTTGGTCCAACTCACCTTCAGTGTGTGGAGTGTGAGCAGCTTGAAGCAGCAGTGTTGGAGGTTTCCACTTTTCTCTCCTGCAGCTGGACTCACTCAGAGGAAGCTGCTAGTTTGGTCTGAAGGTGAATCTGATCGTCTGGGAGTCTCTCTGCAGGAACCAACAATCACAAACTGCTTCCTGCTTTAGTTCAGGTGTGGCAGGTAAAGGGGCGAAGCTAAAACCGGTTCAACCTGCTGCTTCACCCCATAGATTGTGTGTTTCATTCCAAAGTCCTGAATTCAACCTTTAGCTGCTTATAAATCTCACTAATGAACAGGTTTTATTTTTCTCTCATCAGATCATAACGTGTTTGTTCAGGAATAATCAGCTGACCTCCACAAAGTTCTCCTCTTCCTCCAGACCTGCTGCAACAACAACTCAGTCTTTGGAGCTAAATGTGGTTCTAATGTGATGCTTTTTGTTTCATTGACTTCTTTTTTTCATTTGTTGCTAAATATTACAGAATCAAATGTTTTAATCTCATACCGGGTCAGATCAGCATCACTTGTTAATCACTTCACAGTCAGTGAAGCTGAGATGTTGTTATGAATGGAGCCAAATGGAAATAATCAGTATTGAGACGCTGTTTCTTTGTGACAAGAACTGCTACATCATGGCTGTGGAGAGCCATTTCATTAAATATTAAATAAATAAAAATCCCCCTGAAATAAAAGAAGATAAATATGGTAAAATAATTTTTATGTATTGATTTATTATTATCCATCAAGATATTCAAAGCTGTATTAGTTACATAATTTGTTTATTTCATAATGGAGTATTATTTTGTGACAATTTTACTTTTTAAACCTACTTTACATATATTCAGTGAGTTATTTTAACTCACTGAATATTTTTTTAATTTAATCCCTCCCCCAATCTTTTCTCCTTTTTTTCTGTTTTTCCTCTTTGTTTCTGCTTACATTGCAGTGTCCATATAATCTGTAAAACTCAGTGCATAATTATAGTAAAGCAATACATATGCTCCACTTGTGAAAGTAAAATCTGTTGGGCTCTTTTTGGCAATTATTCTTATTGCCACTTTGTCATACAGGACACTGTTAAAAAAAAAAAAAGAAGAACCCGGCCATGGGCCCCAGGGATCCGAGGTCCCAGGGGCCCCCCCACCCCCTGGCAGGGGTTAGAGCAGTGCGCTTGTGCTCTGAGAAGGTTACAAGTACCCAGTTCGAATTCTGCTGCCTCTACTCTGGATTCCTGAGCAAAACCATTAACCACCAATTGCTCCCCGGGTGCCGCACAATGGCAGCCCACTGCTCCCCGAGGGGATGGGTTAAATGCAGAGGTAAAGTTCTCCAGTGTGAGATCAATAAAGTTCAGTTATTATTATTATAAATTGTCATTATGAAAGAAAGCTCTCTTAAAATTGAAATGTTTACAAACATACCGACATCATTTGTCCACTAGATGGCACTGTAAAAAAATAAGATTAACTAAGTGGAAATAGTCTATGAACAACGGCTATGTGCACACTAAAAATAAAACCCATTTACAGTCTTTCATGTTTGAAGGAGTCATGTTTGCTCTTTCACTGCTTTAAATTATTCTCCAGGAAGAAAGAACCTCTAGCTTTGTCTCTGGTTACCATGGTGACAGACCTCACCTCATCAGGGATGAATCCAAGTTTTTTTGGGAGCTTGCAAATATCAGGTCATTTAGCCGAACCTCAGCAGTGAAGATGTTCGTTGAACACTTTGAACAGAACAGACGACTAGACTCGGCTTGTTTCAGTGCTCGTTTATTGAAACATGGCATGAATGGAAGAGAGCAGAACCACCAACATATCAGGCTGATCCAGAGACACAGTAGAGCTCCCGGTCCTGACAGGGAAGCAGAAATGAACCGGTATTTCATACTCAAAGAACCTCTAGTCCTAATGGAGTTTTCATGTTCAAGTGCAATATTCATAACTGTCCTCATTTAGTTTGGCAGCTGCGGCTGCCGTTCAGATGTGTGCATACTCAAAGAACCTCTAGTCCTAATGGAGTTTTCATGTTCAAGTGCAATATTCATAACTGTCCTCATTTAGTTTGGCAGCTGCGGCTGCCATTCAGATGTGTGCAGAGAGAGGGCAGCTTCACAGAGAGAGCATGAAACTTTCACATCCTCTGTGAAGATGCGACTCAGGCAACACCTTCACCCTGCAGAGATCCACTTCCTCTCTGAATCAAAATAAACTTCCAAAATCAACTTCCTTTGGAACTGAAGCAAAGTGAAGGACAGGATCCAGCGAGTTTGGTTTGTGTTCGCTGCTGCGTGAAGCAACAATTTCAGCTGATAGAGGCTTTTTGTGAAATATTAAAGTGAGCCTTGGTTCCTGCAGAACACAGTTCATGTCTCCTCTTCAGGGTGGATGTGTTGTGAGTCTGAGCCGCTGCAGACGGCGTTCCCGTGAACTGGACCTCAGATAAGTTTTTGCATAGACATCAATTCAAGTCAGACTCATGCAGACGAATGAAGGAAAGAAAGAAAATCATGAAACAGAGAAAAGAGTGAAGAGAGAAACAAGGAACTGCTCATCAACAAGGTGATGTGACTATAAAAATAAGTGAGCTTGTTAAATAGACCACACCATCATCATTAAATATTAATATAAACAGAAACAGTTCCACTTAAATGTGTGTATCTGCTGCTGTAGCTGCTCAGTGGGTCCTGTTCAGTATTGCTTTGCTCCCCAGAGGCTGCAGCCTTAGCGGTTCTGCGTGTGTGGGGGGGGTGTGTGTACATGTGTGTTGTGCCAGTGAGAAGTTTTGGTATCTATGTGTGTATTTGCATGTTTGTGTGTTTCTCTGAGTGTGTTAGTGAGTAACAGCGAGGATCTGAAAAAGAACCGTTCCTTGGTTCAGACGGAAAAATTAACAAATTACTGGAAAATCAAGATTTTTACCAATAAAAAAGGAACTCTGCCACAGAACTAGAATAAGTAGATTGCTTTCTCATCATGTCTAAGAAAACATGAGGACGTGTTAAAGGTTTGTTGAATGGAATTTTTATTATCTTTATAGATCCATAATCAAACCATAATTCTAAAAAGTTCTGCTTCAATCATTTGAGGCTTCAATCTCCCTCAAATGTTGTGGCTGCTGGCAGCTTATAGAGAAACAATGTATGAGACAGTTATACTTCCTCGGATTGGGCTTGATAATGGAACAGCCTGAAACTAGTGTGATTAGAAAGCTGCAGCCACACTTAGGATGCTGACTATTACATAACCCATCATATAAAACCCATGCGGTAACACACATTTCTACTGATGTCATGTGAGGAAGAGTGCAGCCCTTGTAGGGGTTCAACGAGACTTTATAATTTATGATTTTGTAGTCTTTGTTCATAACTAATGTACCTATTTAGCTGCATTAATTAGAATAAAGAGAGTTAAAGTTTAGTTTGAAAGTCATCTCTTTAAAGCAGGCATCCCCAATGCCGGTCCTGGAGGGCTGCTGCCCTGCAGGTTTTAGACGTTTCCCTGCTTTAGCACAGCTGATTATGATCAGTGCATTTGAAGAAAAGCCTGTTAATAAGCTTTCAATTAAAATCAGCTGTGCTGGAGCAGGGAAACCTCTAAAACCTGTAGGGAAGCGTCCCCTCAAGGACCGACTTTGGGGATGCCTGCTTTAAAGGAAGCTGTTATCCCTGTGTGATCGCCTCTGGGGTAAAAGAGCCTCTCAAGAGAAGATAAGGAATAATATTAAGATGTTTTATTTTATTGATAAATGTTTGCATTCTCTCTCATTCGGGATCTAACATACAAATCAACAAGCACATTAAATAGAAAAGTTTTCTTAAGGCTGCTGTTTTTGGTTTATCTAGTCTTTAATACCACACTGATTAACATCTTTAAACATGCATTTTGTTTCTGTTAAGCGTTTGGCACTTTTGCAGAAAATGATTGATTGGTTTAAAATCCTAAAATGCAGGTTAAGGATCACAATTCACCACCTGCAGATCAGTAACTAGTTGAACTAGTTCTAGGTGAGCTAGTTAGATAAAGATTTGAGAAGCTAGGATGTTAAACAGAACTCCTAAGTCTGGCTTTATGTTGAAGAGGTTGCCATTTTAATGGGGTTAGTACAACGGAAAATAAGATCAATTATAGCTTTATTTTCACTTTTACTGCACTCCACATGAGAAAGCTGAGGAATGTTTGACTTTTTTATTGGATTGTAAAGCTGTACTTTTTCTGGGAAAACCTGCAGCTGTCCACCTATGACAGAACTGGACCTGCTGTGCTGATCTAGATATATTTTTTTCTTAAGGGTTTTTGCACTAGTGGCTCGTTATTGGACAGTAGGCTGACAAGAAAGGGGGTACAACACAGGGAGGGAGACATGCGGACCACAGGCCAGATTCGAGCCCGGGTCGGCCGCATCAGGACTAAGGCTTCTGTACATGGATCGTGCACGTTAACCACTGTGCTACCAAAGCATGCCCCCTGATCCAGATTTTATGCATCTTTCTCCCAACCCAGAATTTAAAAAATCTATTTACTGATAAACATTTTGGACCTTAACTCTTTTACCTTTGATATTAGAAAGATTATCAGTTTGCTTCAGGCTTTGATTGTGCTTCTACTTTTTCTAGTTCTGAGTCGGCTGATGGTCCACAATGAGACGAGAGGATCCTAAAAAAAAAATCCACATTTGGTGTTCATGTTCAGTTCTGTCCAGTCTGAGCCCATGAGTGAAAATGCTAAACCTGTTATACAATATCCAATGCTACAGTGAAAACGGCAATTGGTTCACACTTAAAAACATAACACAGATTTACAGTCATATTGGAACAGAATTTCATCTAAACCCGCAACTGTAATACTTCTCTTAATAAGTTAAAAAATAACTTAAATAAACCTGAAACAGGCAGATAAAGAAAAAGAACTTAAAAAATCTTTACAACAAAAACCCAACGTGACACGAAGCAGGAAGGACATTTACAACGTATACAAAGTCAGCTCAGTGTTAGTGATCAGTGATAGAAACTCCGAGAGAATATTTCATAACAGTTAATAATAAATATACGAGTATACAGTGGGATAAAGAGCAGTACACGGAGAAGAAGAAGAAGAAGAAGAAAAGCTGAAAAGTCTTTATGGCTTTTACAGGCTGCAAACTCCGGACGCTCTCTGAGCTGCTGAAACAAACAGGGACACAGAAAGGAGCAACACTGGAGAAACTGAAGTTGTGGGATTGTTGGAAAATAAAAAGATGCAGATTCTGACATCCCAGACAAACCAATGGATGCTTCTGGTCAGTAGAAAAAAAAATTATAATTTAACATAATATTTGATTTCCCTGAAGGAGCAGAAGATCAAGTCCCAGTTTACTCATCATTTTAATACCTACTGATATAAAAATCCACCAGATGAGTTTGTATTTTTCTCCAATCTTCAGTTTCAATATGGCTGCTGAAGACGAGTGGGTGGAGTCTAATTAGGTGTCTGTTGTCAGGCCCGCATCAGTCCGCTGTTTTTGGATGGATTATATCTATTTTCTGTTCCAGATGTCAGAGCCTTTTACCCAACAGAAACTTTAAAACAATGAACCTCAAACTGGTCTGAAACATGGAAAAACAGAAACCAGTTTATGCACACACCAAGACCTCAGCAAGACAATTACAATCTTTATTTAACCTGCTCATATTTTTTGGGACTGTGGGATAATCAAAAATTCAAACAAAGAGAACATCGACCCAGCAGGAAATCAGAACCTCAACTGAGCAGACAGCTGTCGGACCATTAAGCAGCCTTGTTGAATTGAACTGAACCAAAAGTCTTTAAACTGGACTTAGTTAAAAGTACAGAGCAGAACATGGATCAGATTCTGTTCCAAAGTTTGCCGGATACTGTGTGCAAAAACAAAGCATAACAAGCACCCACAGGTTTGTCTGAATATGAAGGAATGTGTTTTCTTTATTATTGGTTTCCATCAGGGTGACATCATATACAATGGGGGGGGGGATCCAGAATCAGTGACCCTGAGATGTAACCACTGCAGCTACATGACGATTGTCAGGTTTTAAAGGATCCTTCGTATCATCAGTGAAGGTTGATATTTTTAACACTTTTAATCATGATGTTTTTTTCAAATGCTAAAAGCTAAAATTAGAAATAAAAACAGTCAGGAACCCCATATGCATCAGACCTCACAACAGGCTGTTGTTTCCGATCTCCAAAAATCACCCAAATCTTAATTTTACTTCTTTTTTCACATAATTCTACAACTGCTGCACAATTTTGCACTTTCTTGGTTCCTATAATCTGCATTATAGTGAAATCATGCATGTTCCAATAATCCCACAGTGATATTTGCTACTGACCAGGAAGGATAGAAAAGAGATGGGAGAGAGAGATGGAAAAAGGATGTGACAGAGTTCAGAGTTGTGGAGGGGAAAGGCCCTTTCAGTTTGAAGAGCAGCCCAGGAGCTACCTCTGACACGCATCTCCTCCTTCATCAGTATGGAGAAAACTTCTGTCTCTCTGGCTTCTTCATCCCATTGGCTGAAGAGATCTTAGCCGTGTAGGATGCTAGTGCAGCCGCCGCGTGAGCTGAGACAGGAACTGCCGCTGTGGCCGCTTGCTGCACCGAGCTCTGTAACACCGGTGCCCCGATGGCGGCCGCTGCTGCCGCCGCCGCTGCTGCTGAGGCGGGAGGGGTGGACAGTGCCAGGTAGGGGATGGATTTCACTCCCAGGAGGCTGGAGAGGGGAAGGGCGTAGGGAGCGCCCAGGATTGGAGCGTGGGGCAGTGCCGCACCCATCGCTGCCAGGGGGGAGGAGGAGGAGGACGAGGCAGAGGCAGGGGGGGCGGGCTGGGTGAAGCTCATGGTCAGGTCAACAGGAGACGACATGGAGGAGGACTGGGCGGTGGATTTGGCGGTCTCTAAACTGGAGGAAGGAGGTGGAGGAGGAGGGGGGGGGGGGGGGGGGGGGTTGGATGGAGAAGGGTTAGAGGGTTAAATAAAAGACATGTTAAAAAAAAATAAAATCAAGAATAAAACTGAATGTGAACCCAAAATGGAACCAAACAGGATCTTTTGGAGATAAAAAATGAAGAACTGACAAAACGTAAAATCAGAAGACAGGTGTGTTTGCTGGAGGTTGCAACAGATTATTGTTGGGGGTTCGCTGTACGGATGGGGGGTGTGCTGTATAAGTTGGGGTGATGGCTTGGGAGGGGGCTTGGGGAGGAGGAAACAAAACCATCACAGACATATTAGCACGGCAGCTCCGTCAGACATGGTGCTAATGCAGAAACAGAGAGAAGACTCAGAGAAACCGTTTACTGCGCCTCTGCTGCGGATCTGTGAATAAACCCAGAGCTCTGAGAACTCAAACCCTGGAGGAAGGAGAACAATGTGATGAATATAGTTTCAACAAACTGTCCAACAAATGAACAACTGGCTTTATATCAGGTTCATGAAAACGCTGCAGTCACTTCCAGCATCATTACACTTCAACCATTTATTGTGCCAGCTATATTAAACACTAACTGAATAAACAACATATACAAAACTTATTTATAAAGATTTGACAAAACAGGAACCTTTTAGATTACTAAATAAAAAAAGATGAATATCAATGAAGAGGATGCTAACTGTGATATAGATCTGTTTTTAGTGTTATCCAGCATTTAGTGCTGGGAATAATTTTGTACAGTTGTAACGTTTTAAATGAGAGGTTCTGGTAACTCCCAGCTAACTTTAAACTATGGTCCAATGACGTGCATTAACTCAAACATTTTGCTTTATGTCCTCCTCTTTTCTAACATTATAGCCTCACCTTTCGAAGACGGTACAGAAGTCTGCCATGCAGCACTCTTAAATGGCAGCTAGTTAGGTGATAAATTAAGTTTATCGAGTCTTTATATTTATTGATAGAACCTCATAAGATGCATTGTTCATGCTTGTCTTCATTAAACAGTGTGAATAATCCTGGACCGGATTCTAGATTCATTTGTGTTTCTGCTCTCAATTGTTTGTGCAAATACCGGTGTGGCTCTGTTTAAAAATTAACAGCGATGCCCTTTAGTGACCCGCTGTAACATTACAACACTAACATTACCACCTTTGATGTTATCAATTAATCAAATTGATTAAATATGTTGGGGTCCTGTTCACCAGTGAGGGAAAGGCTCGGGGTCGAGAGGAGCCACCTGAGGTGGCTTGGACATTTTTTTTAGATGGAACTTTGATGCCATAATGCAATCACTTTTGGTATTTACTTAATCATATTGAGTTACTTTAACACAATTGTTTTATGTCCTACCCTGCTAACATGAAACAATTCTGTTAAAGTAACTCAATATGATGAAGTTAATGCCAAAAATGGTTGCATTAGTTTTTTCAGTGCAGGAGGTGGTCCTGACATGTCCCTGCTGGAGGAGACCCAGGGCACAACCCAGGACATGCTGTAGGGTCTCCCGGCTGGCCAGGTAGCACCTTGGGCTTCTCCAAGTAGAGCTGGAGCAGGTGTCTGTGGAGAGGGAGGTCTGGGAGTCTACTGAAACAGCTGTGCCTGCGACTCATGGCCAGCAGATCCCCCCCCCTGGAAACTGCATGTTTAAAGGATAAGATGAAGAGTATGCGTACGAATACAACTCATTTTTATTAAAGAAAGAAGAAGTCAACAATTAATCGGAAATCAATTATTTGCTTAGTTCCCTAGAATCCACACATGCAAAGACCTCCAGGTTGGGTTTCAGACACCTAACTCTTTTTTTGGTGAAAGACAACGGTTGTAATAACTCACCCAAGTAACCGGGGGCCGGAGCCACAAACCTCAACAGTTTCAATGGGTTTCAACTGTGAAGATGCTCCTGTCTGAAATTCTTTTCGGTGAATTTAAAAAGAAAGCTGTGCCAAATGTTGTCATGGCAACACTGGGTAGAAATGAATAGACTGTTTCTTGAAATTAATCCTGCCTGCACTCTTATGGCAGCAGGCGGAATGACAGCGAACAATCCCTTTTTGATTAAACCTGGACCTCGATGTCATTGATTGGATGACGGCCACCAGATGAGGAGATGCTGGATGCTCTGACAGATTTCTTCTTGTCTGCGTCTGATAAACATGGTGATAAATCAGAACACTCCTACTCTGACCTTCCTTGACCTGAAATTTCCTAATAGAGGATGACAAGAATAGCGTGCACCCCCGTAGGTGTTTTCATCACATCTTCATGCTGTTATTTTGTGTTAAAGCCTCAGCAGACAAGGAACTAACACTCCGTATAAACTTACTGACAGACTCATCCTTCACCTGGACGAAGTAATCCAGTGGTGTTATGTCCAACTCTGAGTTACAGAACCCCATCAAGATGCTGTCTGTCCAGCAGAACTGTCAAGTAATTCAGTTACAATACTTTACCGACGTACTTAAATAGGATTTTTTTTTCTATCTACACTTAATGTATTTTTTTCGTTAATTTTACGTGCTGGTAAAGATTCTCAGTAATCCTGGTCATTGTCACTGCAAAAAAAGAAAATTAACAACAATCCGCTGGACTTTGTTTCCAAGTTTGAAGACATTTCGCTTCCCATCCAGGAAGGTTTTTCAATTCAAAATGTCAGAAATAGCGTTGAGTTCCAGGTTTTATACAGTAGCACAACAAAGCCTTGTTTTTGGTTTGAAAACAAACATTAATTTTACTTTGATTCACTACATTTAAACACAAATATCTGCACTTTCTATTCCTTAGTTAGACAAAACTGGCCTCCTCTATACATATCTAATGGCATTATGCAACAGTTGCAACAAAACAGGGAAAATCCGGAATAAAGAGTAGTAACCACTGAAAGTGTTGTGGTAAAGACAGGAGGATGGAAAATGTTGAAGATGTTGGATCAGATTCTGAGATGCAATGTTCTAATCAAGTTCCCCTTTATTAGATTTTAAATCTACAAGTTGATAAAGTTTCAAGTTATATTTGAGTTTTAATGCTATTTGTAGCCGTAATGCTGTGAATAGAAGGACTCTAAAATTATTTATCTGCTCAAAGAGGACTTCTTATCCTGTCTGAAATTTTGATTGAGAATAAAACTAGTTCAAGCCATTTTTTAATGCTCTCCCTACTGATACAGTGAGCAAACTAGGACATTTAACATATTCTGTGTAGAACAGTTTTTTATTATTAATAGTTTATAAAAGTGATTTTTTTAAAACTTAAGGCAAAGCTTAATTACTTTTGCATTTCAATACAATGCAGAACCCATGCTTTTTTACTTTTTCACACTATTTATTTCTTCTTTTACTTAAGCAAATATAAGTACTTTTGACACCTCTGATGTCCAGTCAATTCTTATTCAATATTAATTAGTTCAGAACAAAACCATTTCTGTCAACACCCTAAAATTTGGTCTGAGGAACTGAGAAATGCAGCACCTGCATGACCTGGTCAGAATGTTCTGGTCCAATAGACCCTGTTTAAGGAGCCAAATAAACATTTATTAATGACACTAAAAACCTGTCCTATTTTGACCCTTGAGAGATTATATCAAACGAATGATTTTTGAGTTATTTTTTTATCTACTCTCTAACCAAACAGGTTTTCCATATAATTTTGTTCCCAGTAGTAGAGCATTCAATTCTAAGATTATTGGTGCCAACTGTTGCTATACACCACCGGGAGGGAAAAAGTTTTTTTCTCCTTGCTTTCTCAGACAACTAGAAAAATCGGTTGTTAGAAAAACCATCAAGTTTAAAGAGGCCATAAAGGAAGGAAGAAAGAAACATTAATATTTCTGTAAATAAAACCCTCATTCTTTATTATTGTAATTTTTTTTGAAAGGCCTTCTATTTTCTGTGCTTATTGTTGACCTGTCCACACATTATTTTAAAGTCTTCAAACATAACCTAAAGTATATGACTGCAGGAAACTCTCAGTGCTTTTAAAGCGCCATGCTGCAGCTTACCATGAACTGATTAAATACTGAGCCAGGTTGATGGCAATCGGCGTCCCGGTGATGGTCACGTGACGGTCGCTGCTGCTGTCGATCTGACTGCCGATCTTGATCTGAGCTCCTGACACCTGCCGGATCTCATTTATTTTGGTGCCCTGGCGTCCGATGATCGATCCGATCAGCTATGAGGAGCATAAAACAGAGAAGATAAACATTAAGGTGAAGCTAACATTGAATTATGCAAGGAAACACTGTACTCTGAGGATCAGGTTTCTAAATGTTTTTATTTCTGATGTTCTGCACCTCAGTAACAAAGAGGTCTGCAGGAGAGAAAAGTGGAAACCTCCAACACTGCAGCTTCAAGCTGCTCACAGTCCACACACTGAAGGTGAGTTGGACCAAAAACACCACTCAGAGTCACTTTGAGGGAAGTTAGTAGAGGAGGGAGGGGAGCCATGACTGACTGGACCTTCTGTGTTTTCAGCTTCACTCAGAGACTAAATGGCTTCCAGGTTAGAGGAGGGTCTCTGCTGTCCGGTCTGTCAGGACGTCTTTAAGGATCCAGTTGTTCTGTCATGTAGCCACAGCTTCTGTAAGGAGTGTCTGAAGAACTGGTGGAGAGTAAGAACTGGACACTCATGTCCTGTTTGTAGAAAAAGATCTGCAACAGATGATCCCCCAATCAGTCTGGCTCTGAAGAGACTCTTTGAGGCCTTCTTACAGCAGAGAGAGCAGAGAGCTTCAGAGGATCTCTGACAGAGATTCAAAACTCCACAGAAGTCACAGCTTTGCTCCCATGGATGGAGCTGCAGAGGATCACAGGATGAATCTTCGTTAATTTCTAGAAACCTTGAAGAAGAAGATTCAGGAGCTCAAGACGAAAGTTCAAGAGGAGTTTGATCAGACAGCAGAACACATGAAGGTCCAGGCCCGACACACAGAGAGGCTGAT